GTTACGTGGCTGGATCCTTCAAAGATGCAGAGTGAGTGAATAATAAAAGGTATAATGTCTGGAAAACACATCTGCCTGCAACATCACACCGGCTTACTATGAGGAAGCAAGTGAAGCAAGTGAACTGCATCTTATAGGGATGAAATTCCAAAAAAAAAAGGTAAGTGTGCACCTGCTATTGATAAGAGGAAAATCATATAGAAGTAGGCGAAGCCTTCTTCTCTCAGTCCTATTGGCTTTTATATGTAACTGATAACGTGGGTGAGAGGTGGAGAAACCAGCATGCTACTGATAAGCCCTTCCAACCACACACTAGCCATGCAAACACATAAATGGAGCTACTGTAAGGACAAGCTTGCTGTCTTACGCCACACTGCAGTCTAATCAAATAGTAATATTTACAACAGTCTCTTAGCATGGCTCCGACTAATCATTAAACAAAGGCTTTTTTTAAATAAAAAGCCTATAAACTCCTCTAAGTGTCGCAGTTAACGCAGCGTTTTCCAGACTTCACTCTCTTTAACTGTGGGGTTACAGATAGACAAGTCTGAGAAAAGCTGCTCCGCTTACGAGAATCTACAAGTGCAAAACTTTGCACTGCTCTTAGTTAGCTGGTCCACTCAACTCCAGGCTCTGCTGAGGGGCTGTGACAGTTCAAGGTCCTTTACCTCTTTAGTTAAACAGCAGCTGGAAAGTCGGAGGGGGGAGGGCCTCGCAGCGCTGTTCTGCCCTTTCAACCAAAAAGGAAAACGAAATAAATTCACGCAACAACAGCCCGTCGCCCATTTGCTATACTATAACTGTCATTCATCAGCGAGTGATTGCTGACAAAGTGAGGCGCAGCTGTCACCGCACCTTCCTTCTCCCAGGAGGCTTTACAATGAAACTAAACTAAACTAGACAAAGGGGGGTAACCGGGTCTGCACTGGTGCACGGGCCACAGGTATCACTGATGGCACAGAGGGGAAAAAAGCAATGAGACCACAAGTAAAAATGGAGATATAAAGTATTTCATGAAAGCCATCAGAGCTTGAAGTGTAACTGTAGGGTTTTAGCTACAGTAGCAGTAGAAAGTGTGTGTGTGTAGTGGGGGGCCAGACTGAGCAGAGTCAGACCTGTGTGTGAGGTTTGGGACAGGACAGGGGCAGAGTACAAACAGCTGAGGGCACAGACAGCTGGCGGGAAACCTGAGCACCTCTGAGGGGGAATTAACCCTTTCCGGCCCACAGAGGCAGCAGGAGGCCACGTGTAAAGACGGCTGCCATCTGACACCAAGCAGCTCTCACCGTTCAGGTCGCAAAACACGACTCTGAAGCAGACAGATATGCCGCTCTGAAGAACAGCTCAGTTTTTTTAAAAACATGCGTCCTCTCCTGCTTCCTGTCCCTCCTGAGATCCAATAGGGAACAGGGGTTTGGCATTCAGAGGGTCAAATAGAGCAATTAGCCTTTGTGCTAGTCAAACAGTCTAGCCGTACCCCCACTATCTCTGTGACCTACATAGCCAAGTTTCCTCTGACCTACTGGTTTGTTTGACCATCTCCGTGTGTCTCCTGTTCAACTGGCCCGTCTATAAACGGTGCTGGCTTTCATTTCACAGTCACGGCGGTGCATAGTAAACATAGGCCACGGTGGTGTAATGCATTCTTTCAGAACAGAAGCGAGAGCAGAGGATCATTCTTGTGATGTAGCCAACGCTTCAGCTCTGTCATTTCCTGCTTAAGCCTCGTTCATCTCCTCCTTGTCTCAGTACACGGTTACAAAATGATACAGCATATTAATAAGCATGAACTCCACCACCCCTTTTTACCATAACATACCAACAGGCTGAATAGCAGATAACACTTAATATTGGCTCAGAATTAACTAGTCAGTAAGTTATTGTTATACTTTTCTATTGTATTGACTGCAGACGATATTAAGCGGCCGCCTTGGTTCAGATTACTGGGTGGATGGAAATCTCAGCAGGTACTTTTTTCTGCCCACTTACATCCTACCACATATGCACAATTACCGAAATCTTAAATCATTACGATCGCTGTATACGAGTTGAGAAAACACTCACAGTCATGGCTGCAACATCTGCACGAGTTCAAAGGATAACGGTGAAAATAAAAAGGTACCAAGACCTTCAACTATTTGTTCTTATCCAGCCAAATTCTCACTGGTGGTCAATCCCGACTGTGACTTTCATATGGAGAGAAGGCTACATCAATCTTCCAGGTATGATCTGTTAGTTTTGGAAGAAATACAATGTGCTGTGACTTGCCCAAAACGGTGACCGATAGCTAATTAATGTTTACATTTACAATGAATATTACTTAAAATGGTAAGTGTTTAAGTGTTTTAAGTCTCAGAATAACTATGGGTGAATTTCAATAGAAAGGGCACTAACAGAGGTCTCAAACTGCTCATTCATTAACAAGCACATCCATACTCTTCGCTCTATGCTAAACTATCTTTCCCAACACACCCCACAAGGACTCTGACATGAGGACTGGAGGAGTCGGGGATCGAACCTTGGTGCATTTAGGAGGTGGCCAGCCGCAGCCTCAAACCGCTAACATCCATCAGTAGCAGCAGCCACACCAACCTGGATGTAAACTGCTCATCTAAATAAAAGTCGACTACAGTCGACCCTTTTATTTGTGGTTTTCAAATCAGCCTCACTATGGCTCAGAACACTAAAAACTAAACTAAACCTAACCAAAGCACGACCTTGTAAAACATCCAGCTTAGTATAATGAGGTACCCCAACGCAGCACATGAAGGCAAAATTTATTGTTGTGCAGTCGAGGGCTGAGTCGTCTCCAGCAAGAAATGAATCTTTGGGAGTCAGACTGCGCGGCCCTCCTTAGTTTGCTATGCAATCTATTTTACAAGACAGGAACATCTTTTTCCCCAGCGATGGGGGGGATCTCAAGTATTACACATCCTGCCCTCCTCTATGCACGGTGAACATATGAGATAAAAAAAAAAAAAAAAAGAACAGATCACACAAAATATGAGAGAAAAAAAACATTAAGAATATGTTCTTGTAGCTCTTTCATTTCTCTTAAATTTTCTGCATCCTCAAGGTTTGCGTACATGAGGAAAAAAATAAAAATAAAAGCTTCCCAACATTCGCAGGCACCGAACAAGGAGCCGTTTTAAAGGCGGAGGAAATGAGCGAGTAATTAAAAAGGGAAGGACACAAATGATTCTCTATTCATGTGGGATTAATCATTCCAAATTGAAGGTGACAACTGGCAGGCTAGTCCAGTGTTGGTTGGAGAGCCCATTGTGCAGTTTAATGGTGGCTGGCCCTCGTCTAATCTCCCATTTGCTGGCTCCCATCTCCCAGTCTGTCACCCTGCCAGCAACATGGAATTTGCAGCTCCATTTGGGACTGCTAAAAAAGGCAAGGCAGCCCAAGTGGAGGAGGTGCAGCCAATGGCGGCTGACCTGTCCAGTTGCTTGCTGCAAACTTAAGGGGGAGGTGGAGGACGGGATTGCGAGGCGGGGGGTGGATGACATGGCTTTTGTTGCAACGTTGCTTTCCACCACCTCCAGCGCGATCGACATGCTTCATACATGTTTACAGATGTGCGATATAAGCTGTCAGATCTGTTCTTCTCCAGAGCTCGGGGCTGCCGGGGAAAACAAACACGCCGCCGCTCAGTCAGGACAAGTGAGCTCACTCTGGACATTTTCTGGTCAGTGTTGCGTGGCAAAGTGAACTGTGATAATGAGCGCAGCAACAAATAAACTTCACGATGAGCACAACAGCAGTGACACCAGCAACCAGAACCAGAGAGGAGGGAGGGGGGAGTGAGGGATGAAGTACGGGAGAAAAGGAGAAGGAAACAGTGCGGGTGGGAGGAGGGGAAAAACCAGAGCCGACTCTGATACTGAGAATTTGATGCCAAGATAGATCATCTAAGTAAGCATAAGTTGTGGGATTTGCTATCCCCTTCCAAAAATAACCCAAAAAGCATAAAAAAACAAACATCTGCACTGTAGGGACGTAGTATTACTCATAAACTATCTCCAGAAAAAATGCGCAAAAAGCAACAAATCTGCCCTCTGATGTGGTTTCATTTCTTATGTATTCCACCTTTTCCTCTTAACATGCCTCACTCAGACTCTACGTCACACATCACTCTCCCACAATTCCTTTCAAAAGTCCTGAGAGGACCGTCTTGAAGTTACTGCTGCTTTTATGTGTGCTGACAGAGCAATAATAACAAAAAAAGCGAGGATTTTCCACAGTGAGTCACACACTAATCTTAACATCTTATCGTCTCAGGACTCCTTTCGGCTCGAATAAAAGCACTCTTAGGGGGAATGAACTGATCCTGCTGAACGTAGAGCCAAAGTGACGCTCCTGGAAAGAAGTCTGTGCCGACTAATTCCGACCAATATTTAGGGAAAAAAATGTGAGAACATTTCCACGGCAGCTGCTGCGTTTTACCACAAAGAAGAAATCAGAGGCAAAGACACATGACAGCCCAGCTAGTGATGGATCGGTCCAGTCAGATGGAAAGAAGACACTGCGCTGCGAGGCAGAAAGGAGCTGTCCATCATTTCATAAACAACTATTTGAAATGATGAACTCCCCCCCCCATCATGCCAATTTACTCGTGATGTTTTATGTTTAACAGTGACGTGTGGCTTTTTCAGGTTATAGCTTAATAACAATCTATCAGTGCACGGCTTGGTGAATAGACTCATTTGCTTTCTTGCATAGGAAATCAAATGGATAAGATCCCACTACCAGAGTCTTTATATTTTACCCAGCATCGCAACGTTACCTACTTTGTGAAATGTGCAACATGCTTACATCTACATAGCAATTGATGGATGGACCTCCCTGAGCCTGGTTCTGCTGGAGGCTTCTTCCTGTTAAAAGCTAGTTCTTCCTTCTCACCCTCCCAAAGTGCGGCATCTTTGATCGTTGGTGTTTTCTCTGTGTCATTATAAGGCCTTTACCTTACAATGTAAAGCGCATTGAGATGTCTGCTGTTGCGAGTTGGTGTTATATAAATAAAGACAATTGAATTGAATTTTTCCTGCTGACCACTCAAAGTGTTTTAAATTACAAGTCACACTTAATCTTTATTCTGTGTACCTCCCACTACTCTATCTGCCTCACATCCACGGTCAATTTAGAGCCACCAATTACACCCAGTATGCATGTCTTTGGACTCTGGGATGAAGTGAACACAGATACAGGAAGAACATGCAGACTCCAACGCTGGGGTTTAAACCGAGAACCTGCTTACCTGCTTGTGACCCAACAGTGTTAAATGCTCCTCTACCATGCCACTCACATATGTGGACATCACATTATGGGTTGTCTAGCCCAAAATACAAAGTTTTGCTCTACAAGGGCCTGATATCCACTTACATGGACGTTATACTGCCACTGTTTTATCAAAATTTAAAGCGAATGTCCTCATATGTGGATTTCATTTTTCTCAAACAAAAATCAGGTAAAAAAAAAAAAAAAATTCATCAGGTCCCAATCAGCCCAAACAGCAAAGAGAAATCAAAAATGCATGCCATGAAAGAGTTCACGCGTACAAATAAATCAGGAATAAAGGCTTGTACTCTAAAAGACAGTACTTGCTCCAAAACTAGGGAGACTTGAGCTTTTCCGATCCAAGGAATAATTTCAGGCATAAGGTCTTCCTTTTCTCCAGTAGAGACAGAGCTACGCTAGCCATTTCCTTTGTTTTCCAGGCTTTTCACTAATCTAAACTAAGCTGCTGTGTGCTTGCCTCGAGAGTGGTATTGAAAGACAATCAGTGAACTAGCTATTACACTGTTTCTGTTAAGCCCTATCAGTTTATTTTGTCATTTGATTTTATGAGCGATGCTAAAGGCACCAAATTACATCTACTTCAATCATCTCCTAAGCTTTTCCTTATTGCTTCTTCAAAAGGTTATCCGCTCCCCCACCAGTCTTTGCAAAACCCGGATTGTTTAGACTACAGTGGAGTGTATTCATGACATACTATTCCTGATGAACAGCGTCCAGACTCGGCAGAAGTTCACGCTGCAAGCACACACATAAAACGATCCCTCGCATTCGAGGGATCCGATCCACCTGCTTGCCCTGTCCTAACCGCCTGACAACATCTCGCCCGCTGACGATTTCTGCTGCGTCCCACTGTACACAGGGGTTCACGAGGTCTCACGCTAGCCTCCCACACTCAAAACTGCAGTTGGGGGTGGTGGGTGGGAGTGGACGCTCAGAGGTCACAGTATCACAGCCAGTCACCCAAATAGCTGTCACATGAAATGGGACGAAAAATGTTTCCAATACACCCGCTCATATCTACTTCCAGAACCCACCCCCTACCCCCCCACTCCCTGCCCTCCATATCACTAAAATGAGAGGAGGTGGTGGTGCTGGTGGTGGAGGAGGGTGTGTGTGTGTGTGTGTGTGTGTGTGTTGGGGGGGTGAATCACAGGACTCCAAAGACAGCTGCAGCTTATAAGGAATGTGAGGGGCCTCAGCCAAGAGTGCAGGCAGGGAAACCATACCATATATGGCAACAGAGGCAGAACTAATTTTTATCAATGAGCAGAGCGGGCATGAGAGTGGCTTAACATGCAAAGGTTGATCTCCCATCCCTGACGATGTATGGCATGTGTTACTTAGCGCCTTGTGAAAACAGCATGCGGGCAAACAGGCCTGGAAGTGTGCGTCTTCAAAGGGGAATACTTAAGCTGGGTAAACAGTCGAGGGAATCCAGCACGTGTTTGCACAAAGCTGACGACAGCCACCGATCAATTCAACGCTTCAAACCCTTAGATGTTTTAAAGTTCAACGACACAGAAACCAAACTTTTTCATTCAAACTTAAAATAATAATTGGGAGAAATTAAGTGAAAGGTTACCTGTTGTATTATTATTTATCATTTCTATAATGATGCAAGTTGTGAAAATGCGCAACATCCAAATATTTTAAGACTCACACGTTCTGTTAAACAACTCAACGTTTTAGCCGTGAATATCAGACGTCTCTGTCTCAAAAATCAAATGTAAACAGCAAAAGCCTCCATATAGCAGACCGCGTGTTCCTCGTCCAAACACAGCCCAGGCCTGCAGTGATTTATCTTCACGAGTGTTACGAGGTTTTCCTGGATGAGGGGTCAAAAAGGTAAAAGTGAAGACGGCGCTCTTTTTGGTGGAGCGGGATAAATTCTGCACGTCTTATCCGGCTTTCCCTTCAGCACGAATGCTTTGAAGAACTACTGAAGACTTCTTGGTTTCACTGAAAAAACGATTTGGTGCCCAGAACCAATCCGCGAGCCCAAACCAGAAGCCTCACATGTTAACGGGCAAAAGTTCAAAACTGTGTTTACAATAGGACAAAGATTATTTTCCACAGCTGCTTGTGGGTTTGATTTATTTGTTCTCCTTCTACGCTGGCCTTTTCTGGAGAGATTTCCCATTATATCCATTAGCGACTCTACTGTGCTTTATGAGGGATTTTGGGTTTTTCTTTAATTTGCACTGCAATTCATGTCTCTATTAGAGAACAGACAGTGAGTCACAATGACTTTAGTAGCTGAACGCAGGAGAGATGAGCTGTGGAGACAGGTACAGGAGTGAGCGCAAATTATTAATAGTTGACCTTTGCTCTTTTGAAACGAGGCAGCGAGTCTTATTTTTTATTAAATGTTTGTATTTTTTGTCTTGGCCAGCTGGAGGACCGGCCTGCAACCGCTTTCACTTTATGATACTCACCTTTGTGTCGCCCATGCTCTCCGACTCCGACACCTGGTAGGTGAGGTCAGTCTCCTCAAACCCGGTGGCGCTCATGCGCTGATCTGTGGACGGGTCGGAGCGCGGCGGAGAGTCTGGCGAGTTGAGGCATGTCTGGATCAAGGCTTTGCCCGTTTCACTGGTGATCATGGGCTGGAGTTTGCGAGTAGCAAAAGTGTACACGTGACCCGTTTCGCTGGCCACAAGTAGCAGAACCTGGGTTCCCGTCAGGGTGGAGAGTTCATAGGCCTGAGAAAGTGAGAAGAAGATGTGATTAACCGACCGAAAGAACGGGCCAAGAGTCGAGCTAGAAATCCAAACATCCAAAAAAAAAAAAAGAAAGAAAGAAAAAGAGCTAGTTCGCCAAATTAGGGCTTGGATTACCTTCACATCATGTGCAAATTAACCCTAAAAATGGAGGAGGGAATGAATCTGTGGGAAAACAGCCAAGAGAACGCTAGAATCTATAAATACTTCTTTGGTGGACTCTGACGTATAGCACAAATGAAACTAAAATAACACAAGATAAGGCTTCCCAGAATAGAGAGTGTGATATAGTCGAGAGACTGATTGCAGGAAAGTGCAAGCTTGATAGACAGGGGGAATAGTAGTAACTGAGTCTTGACAGGAGGAATATTTTAAACACTCAGAGGTGGCTGCCTGCAAAACACGAGGTCTCCGTCACACTCCGCCGGCTCGTCATTCATCGCACAGCTTGCAGACACTCGCATTAAAGCTCCCCAGAGCGAAGGGAGACGCACACCGAGATTCAGCTCCATCCAATGCACACACACGACCGAGTGCACCCTGATGCTGCACTTGGTGTGAACTCCTGAGAAAGCCTTTTTATCTACATGAGTCATCAGTTATCTGGAGGATGCTCCTGGTGCTGTGAAGGCACAGTGCCGTTACCATCACCCAGAGCCGAGCTGACAGATGTGCCGTTGCAAGGTGGAGCGGAACACACTGTCAGACGCCGCAAAAAGGGGAGGGGGAGGACATGAATCACATTCAAATTAAAGCGTTTTATTGAGCAGTTATAAAACCCATGTCGCTGTCCGAGTCTACTCCACCATAGTGTGCTCATTATGGACCGTATCTGTCCCGTCTTCACTATCTGACCACATATTCGCCTTTTGTGTGCAGTAACATGACGACAGAGAACATAAAGGCTAATGATGACCATCTGCAACTACAGCGGCTCGCCGGCATGCTGCACTTATTTAACCTGAATGATTCGACTCCGACTTAGTGCTGCCTGCAGAGGAGGGGTCCCTAACAACAGAGCTCGATGTTTGGCCAACATCCATGACAGAAAAGGAATAATTTATCAAGTTGAGAGTGCTATGTGGCAACACAAGCTACATAGTGCTTTAATAAGTTTCCTTGCTCTGCTGATTTTCACATAAATATTTATGACTGCAGGGCGTGTGTGTGGTGGTGCTGCTGCTGGTGGCGGTGGTGTTCCTCTGACTGTAATTGGTTCCTATGCCACAAAATATGCCAGCCAGGTCTATTTATCAAATATCTGAGAAAAAAAGAAAAAGAAAAGACCCATCCACAAACAACTGAAAGTAAATGTAGTTTTAACTCACTCCCACCCAAAAAAGGGTTTTCAGGGTTTGTCTTCTTAATGCAAGTCCCAAACTTAGTCTTAAGAGAAGTCAGCTGTGCGTTTAAATCCCTTGAAAGTCTTGGTTGGCCTTCCTTTCTCGTGCAAAGGCGCATTCAGCAATTTTACAAAGATGGGCACGGTAAGGATCAATCGCTTAACTCAGCGGTCCCCAACCTTTTTTTGCGCCACGGACCGGTTTATGTCCGACAATATTTTCACGGACCGGCCTTTAAGGTGTCAAGGACAAATACAACAAAATAAAACCAGTACCGGTACCAAAAAACAGAAGATTTATTCATAACACAAGGGGAAAGACCCAGGGAAACCGAGTTAACGATAAAAACGCTAAAGAGAAAAATTAAGATATAAACCGATAAAACCCCTGAAAACCATATATTTCACACCCAAGCCTCAACTCCCACAGCCCGGTACCAAAAGACTCACGGACCGGCCCGGGAGTTGGGGACGCTGGCTTAACTTACATACACTAGTCAGGTATAACTTGCAAATACTAGGTTGGACCCTTTTGCCTTCAGAACCATCTTTGTGGAACTGTCCCATGATGTCAATCTCCCATTCCCCCACATCCCAAAGTGCTCTATTGGACTGAGATCTGGTGACTGTGGAGACCATTTGAGTGCAGTGAACTTATCGTGTTCAAGAAATCAGTAATGATCTGAGCTTTGTGACATGGTGCATCATCCTGCTGGAAGCAGCCTAGAGAAGACGGTTACACAGCAGTCATAAAGAGATGGACATGGTCAAGTAGGCTATGCCGTTTAATTGATGTTTAACAGTTGGTACTTAATCGCCCATGTTGTTTGCACCATATTCCGATCATACTATTTGCATGTTGCAGAAGAACTCAAGAATCATCAGACCAAGCAAAATTTGTCTGATTTTAGTGAAGGCTCGGTTTCCTGTTCTTAGCAGATAAGGTGGCACCAGTGGGGTCTTGTGCATCTGCGGCCTATCTACTTCAAGGTCTGACATGTGATGCATTCAGAGATGCTTTCCTCCATATCTTGGTTGTAACCCGTGGTTGTTTGAGTTACTGTTACCTTCCTATCAGCTCGAAGCAGTCTGGTCATTCTCTTCTGACCTGTGACATAAACAAGGCATTTTCACCCCGTGAACTGCACCCCATCCCTCTTCTTTGGAGCATTCGCTATAAATTTTCGATGGTTGTGAAGAAATCCCAGCAGATCAACAGTTTCTAAAATACCCAGACCAACCTGTCAACAACCAGGCTTCAATCAGTTAAATCTCCTTTCTTGTACATTCCTGCGCTCCATTTGAGAAACAGGTCGTCTTGATCATGGCTAACGTACTTAAATGTATTGAACTGCTGCCATGTGATTGGCCGATTAGACATCTGGGTTTTAAGTGTAATTGAATAAGTGTACCTAATACAGTGGGAAGTCAGTTTATGTACAGCAGCTATCTCAAGTGCTGAAAATAATATTTGTTCCAACTTTTCAGAGATATTCTCAGAAGGATTTGATGATTGTGTTACTAAATGTTTTATTTTATTTTCAGACCAAATATGCTACTTGAAGATAAGAAGCAGGGCTATGTGAAATTGGCAGCCATCCTTTACTCCTCTAAACTTTAGTAGACTAAATTTTTCATCGTGTAGCTGAAAAATCTAGGACTGACCCATACTGAAGTTCCAATTTGGCCAAAGCCTCTCCTTTTTTGTATTTCACGCTACCATTAAAAAACAAACAAACCCCAAAACACTAAAATATTTAACACAACAGATGAATATCAGCCATTCAGCCGAGACTAAATGCAATTGTATGTTGGTGTATTCCTGAGGAAAAATGAATAACTGCCAGATACACAGTAGTATGCAGTCCTTCACCTTCTATGTCAAGAAATAAATAAAATACTAATAGAAAGTTCCTGAAACCTAACACTGTGCCTTAAAAGTCTCATAAAATCACCAAAGTTATAAGAAAAAGAAGCAGAAAATGTATTCTTTACTCAATTTTATTTATATAGCATCAAATTGCAACAACAGTTGCCTCAAGGTGCTTTATATTTTAAGATAGAGACCCATTAATAACAGAAAACAAAAAGTCCCAACAATCATATGACCCCCTATGAGCAAGCGCTTTGGCGACAGTGGGAAGGAAAAACTCCCTTTTAACAGGAAGAAACCTCCAGTAAAACCAGGCTGAAGGAGGGGCGGCCATCTCCCACAACCAGCTGTGGGTGAGTGAATGAAGATGGGAAAAACACATGCTGTAGAAGAGAGCCGGAGATTAATAACAAATAATTAAATGCAGAGAAGTATTTAAAGACATAGTGAGTGAAAAAGGTGCTGGGAATCCCAGCCTAGAACTATCACAGTGTAACTACTAAGGGAGGATTCAGGGTCACCTGATCCAACCCTAACTATATGCTTTATCAAAAAGGTATCAAAGTTTAAAGCCCAATCTTAAAACTAGAGACAGTGTCTGTCTCCTGAATCCAAACTGGAAGCTGGTTACACAGAAGAGGGGGCTGAAAGCTGAAGGCTCTGCCTCCCAGTCTACTATTAAAAATCTACGAACCACAAGTAAACCTGCAGTCTGAGAGGAAAGTGCTCCAATGGGGTGATACGGTACTATAAGGTCACTGAGATAAGATGGGGCCTGATTATTCAAGAGCTTGTATGTGCGGAGAAGGATTTGAATTCAATTCTGGATTTAACAGTGACCCAATGAAGAGAAACCAATATAGGTACTCTCACTGCAGCATTTTGGATCAACTGAAGGCTTTTGAGGGGCGGTAATGCCATCCAGAGAAAGCATCTGGGTAGAAACTGTGTTACTAATATTTTTAGGGCAGAGTACAATAACCTCAGTTTTATCTGAATTTAGAAGCATAAAAAATTAGAGTCTTTAAAAGATTTCTGCAGTTTAACTAATTGGTGTGTGTTATCTGGCTTCATGGGTAGATAAAGCTGGGTGTCATCTGCATAGCAGTGAAAATGTATGCTACACCTTCTAATGATAGTGCCTAAGGGAAGCGTCTATAACATAAACAGAATTGGTCCTAGCACGGACCCCTGTGGAACTCCATAATTAAACTTACTATGTGGAGAGGACTCTCCATTTACATGAACAAACTGGAGTCTATTAGATAGAAATTATTCAAACCACTGCAGCGCAGTAACTTTAATACCTACAGCATGCTCTAATCGCTGTAATAAAATGTTATGATCAACAGCATCAAACTCTGTACTGAGGTCCTGCAGGACAAGCACAGAGATGAGTCCACTGTCAGAGGCCATGAGAAGATCATTCGTAACTTTCACTAAAGTGGTTTCTGTACTGTGATGAGCTCTGAAACCTGACTGAAACTTTTTAAATAAACCACTTCTCTTCAGATAAAAGGAAGTTTGGAGATTGGCTTGCAATTTGCTAAGGACGCCGAGTCAAGTGGTGGCTTTCTAAGTAACGGTTTAACTACCTGACGGCCTGTGGTACATAGCTGATAAATAAATATAGGTTTATCCTTCCTTGAGCAGTCTTGTAGGAATTCTGTCTAGAAGACGTTGATGGTTTGGAGCAAATAATGTGTGTGACGCTGACAAGTTATTATTTCTCTAATGGTTACAATTTTATTTGTGAAGAAATTCATGAAGTCATTACTCAAAGGCACAAAAGCATTTTTTAAAAAAAAAAAAAAAATGTAATATTTCAATTAAATGACGAATCATTCTTTCATTAAACTCATCAAAGCAGGAAAAACTTTAGGTGTAAGTAATAGCATAATGAACATATGGACGCACTCCATTTAGCCGAGGCCATTCCACAGCACTGCACCTGAGCTGAGTCACACCTAATGTTCTTCATACCACTTGTGCTGCTTTTCCCACTATAGAAAGTCATATCATATTTGCCACATATTAGTACTAATTGAGTAACCCTGAACCTCAAACTGACGTAATTATTTAACAGTGTGTGTTTACAAGGCTGCAAGCTGAGGCACACATAAGAAGAGAACAAACAGGCCTGTGCTACACTAACTGCATCCTTCGAAATGAAAGTGGGCTCATCCTAGACCAATCTATGAATCTTCCCACTCCACCCACCTGTCATTTTCTGTGATGGCTGGCATAGTGTGGGCAACCTTTTCAAAAAAAAAGAAAAGAAAAGAAAACCATCCCCACACTGTGTCAAATAGTGTTCATGTTGCCAAGAGCCTACATAAAGACACCTCAGTTTCCACGACAACAGTCTGGGATACATAAAAAGAGAGAAACACAGCAGAGCGCATGGTGCAGCCGAAGAAATACAGGGACAAGTTAAAGGAAAGAGGGGGAAAAAAACTCCTGGACTCCAATAAAGCACCGCTTACAAGTGTTTATTTAAAGTCATGATGAAAAGTGGTCGAGTCCACATCACAATAACTGCTGGGCTTGTGGTCAACAGCTGACCCCAGCTCAAGTAATCCACTCTCCGTGACTCTATACCAAACTGTGGTGTTTTATTGTGGCATCAAATCATGTGGGTGAGCTGTGAGTTTCCTCAGAAATGTTGCTTTAAGGAGACAGTAATGAGAGCAGTTATGACTGAGAAGCAAGGTTTGTCATCTTTAATGTCGCCTGCTTATGAGCAAGAGTCAACTGACAAAACTGGAAACCAGGACAAGTCATCAGTGAGACTTAGACGTCTGTGTAATGTACAGCACCATAATGCATGCACAGACAGACAGCACCCCACCACCACCACACAACCCAGGCTTCTCGCTTCTGTCTCAGTGTTCTTTGACCGTTCTTTGGTCTGTTTCCCAGGGGTTTAGTTAGCTGTTGGCACATACAGGCCGACTTCTACTTACTGCCACATGGCTGCCGCCTGTAAGCAGTGACGGAGTGAACAGGCTGTGAATTGTGATGAGAACTACATCTAATAGTTGCAAGGATGTCTGTGAAGGTGTGTGCGGGTATGCATGCATGAATCAGTTTATAAGTTTCTGTGTGTGACAGTTGGGATTGGGGGTGTCATAAATAGACCTGTCATTTGCTCTATTCTATTTAAAGCCCAGTGGCTGTCATGAATGTTCTGACTTCCTCACATCCACTGAGTCACTTCTGGACCACAATGGCTTTGTCTTTCATAAGAAATACACTGACACAAGACTGACATCAGGTCAGCAGCATGTAGGCTCACATGAAAAAAAAAAAACCCCAGCCCAAAGTCTTTCTTGTGGTTATTGTAATAACAGATGCACACTGTCCCAGGGTGTTGTGATTATTATTTTTTTTAAAAGGTTATTAACAAGTGCACTTCCATGAATGACTGCAAAGCACCCTACAGTGTGTCACTGCTGTACTTCCAGGCCAATCAACAGCTAAAAGAGACTCAAATCAAACGCTGGCGCAGCTGGATGAGATCCAGACGCATCACCTGACTCACCTTCTTCATTATGCCCGTCTTCCTCTTACTGAAAGTGGTGTACCGTCTCAGCTTGTTGTCAATAAATTCCATCTTTATCTTTACGCGTCCACGTGTCTTCTTGCCCGGCTTTGCCCCGGCGACCCCTCCGGGCACCATGCTGTAACCTCCGGGAGATACTCCTACCTCCTGCCCCGACACCGCAGCCTCCATCTCCCCTCTCTCCCGCTTCACCCCTCTCCTGCTGTCCCCAAGTGAACCCACGGGTTCGTCATCATCTCCGGAGTCCGAGTCGTTATCTGAGCCGCTGCACAGAGGCGCACTCTCCCGGTCCGGATCGAAGCGGGCTCCGTGAGGCAACATGACTCCTGGACTTAAGCCCACCATGCTGCTTTGAACGGAAGTCTGAAGAGGGTTTACACCGGTCCCGTTCCCCGGCCTCGCACCTCTCGGACCCCCTGGACCATTAGCTCCCAGCATCCCAATGGTATCTCTGTCCCCCTGTCGCCCTGCAGCACCGGTACTCTCGCTGACCCCGGGTAGAGCTTGCCCTGATCTGACAAGGACGGGACGAATCCCGCTGCCGACCAACCCCGAGCCGTGTCCTGTGGTACCCCTGCCTGAACCCGAGCCGTTTCCAGGTGGTGCCGATCCAACCTGGCTCGGTAACATTATATATTTACTGGAGCGAGTTTTTTAAACACCAGCCAAGAAAGCTGGATTCGGTTGCCTCGTAAATGACTGATAAAACGCATACACGTCCGGGCCACGATATGTAAACAAACCCGACCAAATGATGGTTCAGAGACTCCAGGAAATTACCGAGACAAACTTTCGAAAGTGATGCTGCCCCCAAGACCCTTCAACCCCGGCTCAGTTTGCTTCACCCTCCTCCTCTATTTCCAAAACTCTGAGCACTTTCTCAAAAAGGAAAGCGCGAAGAGCGACCTCCATATTGCTGCGCCACGTCACCTAGTGCGCCATGTGAACCGAAAATAGCTCTAGTGTCGATTTGCTCGCACACAAGTCGAAGTTTCTCTCAGATAATGTTACAGTATTTCTCTTTCCGCGTGTCACAAACGAACATAAACCTCAAAATTTAAGACAGCGAAAGCGACAGCGGAGTAATACTTCAGCCGAGGAACTACTTCCCTCCTTATAAAGAGATACAATGTTTCCTTATTTGGTGCTGTCTCTCCTTATTTGGTGAGTCACAGCGTCGTGTACGGATTGGCTGAGGATTATCTGAGGAGTGCTGGCATTGGTCAACGAAGCACACTCATTAGAATAAATACCAAAATGGTTGCGCTAACCGACAACGTCACCGTGGAGAAGTAAAAAGGCACCAACATAACAAAACATCCAACTTTTATTTTATTTATTTATTTTAATTACCCACAGGTTGTGGCGCCTATACCACACAGCAAACTCCCATTTTCCCGGAAGTTGAAGTATATCATCTCCTTTTAAATGAAGCGCATGTGTGCGGCACTGTTACTGTAGACAATTCAGCAATATGAGATAATTTAAGGTGCCAGATTATCGCACATCGACTTGAACAGGGAATGTAACTGTAATAGGTAAGTTCCTTTGAGTATGAAGCCTGCTTCTTCCTACCAACCTTTTAATAACGCCACTGTAAAGCAAGGTGCAGTCACTGTCTGTTTGCTTCATCTTGTTCACCTTTGCAACAGTTCCTGCCCACTTAGTAAAATGTGTTACCAGTGTCGTCAGGGATGGCTTCCTCCTCTACAAGTGGACCTGACAGCAAAGAAAAACCAACTTAAACTGATGTAATTCATCATTAGGTTTTCTTTGAAACGTGTAATCCGTATTCATTTAAAAGAAAAAAGAAAAAGGTATCAGAGGGAAATCAGTCAGAGGCACTTAGGTGCGCTATTTGAAACGATGGAACAACCTCCACCCACCTGGTCTTACGGGCAAGTTAAAACAAACGCCAGAGTTTTGAGGCATTTGAAAATGTTTCACTGGCAGGATGCTCAGGGGATTTTTATTGCAAGTGAACTACAAAATCGAAAGTTCTGTGAAACGCAGATTTACTCGGAAAATGGTTATAATGTCACCGCAGTGGAAAGACATTTATTGCGTTAACGCACGCGCACCGAACGAGGCCCAAAAGTGACATGCGCACGGTGCTGTGTGCAGATCTCAAGCAAAGCCATCAAAGCCCCCCCAAATACACACACACACACACACACACACACACACACAAACTGCACAGTGCTCAAAGTTTGGAGGAGACTCATAACGACTGAGGAAGTGCTAAAACTCATTAAGCACGTAGACCCATTGAGGAAACTTCTTTAAAAGCTAGTTATCACATTAAACTGTAAACAAATTATAATAGGGAAAAATGCTTGGCACGCCTCAAGGGTCAGCTTTAATCCTTACCTAACCGCACAGCGCCTTCTAGTGGCTACAACAGAGCCTTTTTATTTGGATAAAGAAAGAAAGAAAAAAGTCCTGGATGTACTTTTACAAGGTCATACAAGTGGTTTAACAAACTATAGCCCAACACTATAAAGTACAAATCCTTTTAGTCCTACTTCTAGCCCCCACCTCCACCACACACACTGTGTGTGTGTGTGTGTGTGTGTGTGTGTGTGTGTGTGTGTGTGTGTCTGTGTGTGTGTGTAACTTGTAGAGACTTGCAAGAGATAAACAATCCACCTCATTTAAGATTTCATCACTTATTCTTAACCTCATATTTTGTTGTAACACAGCTGCAAGAAGAGAGTGTCACACAACACTGTTGTATCAGTGAAGAAGCCACCAGCTCCATGATTTACAACATATTTTCACTTCAATACAAAAAACAAGGCATTTATTTCTCACCATTCCAACACCTTATTTGGGGTGAACTTGTATACAGCTGAATTACCACTTTTTTTTTCCTCAAATATTTGTTACAAACTCAGCATAAACACTGAGCTGAAAATATTAAGAAGTTAAAGTAACTGTCACAACAAACTGGGTAAAAACACTGTGAACCTTTATTGACAGCAGCATGTATGCTTTTGTATACATCTGTGATTACTGTGAACATGTGCTGAAGCAGATTAAAAAAAAGAAAGAGGTCTAGTTGTGAGTGCCTAGCATTCATAAAAACAAAATATTACACTAAAAACAACGTATAAAAACAGGTTCATAAACAAAGGCCATCGCATCTGATTAGATGATGTAAAAACAACAACAAACAAAAAGGGAAACGGTTAAGATAATCCTTCATTTACTAGGCACTTAAACGAGCACTGGTGACCTGCAGTCACTCTTTTGACCTCCTTTGTACTTTGTGTTAGCATACCCAGCCGGTTACCAGACTGAACGCACACCAAGATGGACCGTGAGAATGAATACATAGCATAAACTACCTCACAGAAGTACCTTTCTATTACAGTTAAAAAAAAACCCCAAAAAAACAGGACCTTCATCATAAATAACCAGGCACCTGCATGTCCTTCTACACAACATGATATATATATTTATATATATATATATATAAAAAGGGATAATCTTTTAAGTGAAGTTAGTGCAAGACTTCTAACATTATGTACACACTGCCTGGTGTGATGGTCCGCTTCGCAGCATTGCACAAAACAGGTGGACCAGGAGAGAAACTGTGATTGGACCTCTGGAGAGAATAAAGCAGGTCAAACGTGGCGGTGGGTTCAATTCCTGTAGCTGAGAGGACACGATGGTGTTCGTGTGGTAAAAATGAATACTCCTACCCATCAGCAGTGACCTGTAAGCACCTCAAAGTTAACAGACAAACAGAGCACACTTATAAAAATGTATAAAGCCCACACTGGCACGATCTCGTCTGTTCAACATGTTCCTTGGCTATAAAACATGTTTCTTTGTTGTCGTTGTTCCTGAAGTGTTACCGTAACACGGATTACTTGTTTTCCACAAACCTTCATGCAAAACCCCCATTCCTTATCTGTCTGTAGGGACAACAGTTCAGTGCATGTACACACACACACTCACTCAAACACACAAAAGCAAACAATTTGGGGGATTGTACCCGGTGGAGAGAGAGGACACCTGAGGGGTCAGGGTGGCGGACTCGGGATGCAGCTCGATGTAATTGCGAAGGGAACAGACCAGTTTAAACGACCTCACTCGACACACTAGTAAAGTGGCTGATTATCTACAGAGGCTTCATCGCTCCACTGCAGTCCCACTGTGCCCCACTTTCTCTTCGATATCCTCTTTAGATTAATGAGAAAACTCCAAGGAGTTAAGTGGTGACGTGACATTTCAGGCAAATCCTTCGCACTAATCAGAGCCAGCGAATGCGCCATCATTCCTACAAAGTTAGAGAGTGCGTGAGTGTGTGCGCGTGTGTGTGTGAAGGGGCAGAGGCACTGAGGTTGTGAGGCTCCGTGAAACGAAAACGGCCGCAGACGGGCGGGGTCACAGTGGAACCACAGGCGGAGGCTGGAGGCTGGAGGTGGGGGAGGATCGTCCATACTGTGGTGAAGGCAAACTCCTGGCACTGCTCGCACGAAGCCATTCATACAAAGGTGAGTGCAGTTCCACTCATATAGCAAACAAGTCTAATCCACACTCAAAAAGTTGAAATGCATAAAAAATTAAAGTTTTTTTTTTTCTTTTTTCTTCCCCCTCAACCCTCTTCCCTGAAATGTGTGAGACTAAATAATCCAGCATTCCTCTCTGTATTTTAGGGGAAGGGGGGCGGGGCAGAGTTGGTAACAGTTTCCTTTCTGCTGTGAGATGATTGGTCCCTTCAGACTTTGCTGTCAGAGGGCAGCTCTCCCAGGGCGTGGACGATGTCGGTGAACGAGGGGCGCTCTTTGAGGCTCAGCGCCCAGCAGCGGACCATCAGCTTGTAGATTTTAGAGGGGCATCCGTCCGGAAGGGGTAGCTTCAGCTTTCCTGCCTGGAGACCTGCAGAAAAATGAGATGAGATGCCTTTTAAAGAGCGATTCCCTCTTCCTGGGGTAAAGACAGTAATGTGTTGCAGCATCAAACTCACCTTCTAACACTTCGTCGTCGCTCAGTTTGGTGTATGGCATTTCCCCGTGACTGAATACTTCCCACATCAACACTCCGAAGGCCCACACGTCTGACTTGGTGGAGAAGTCATCTTCAAACACAGACTCTGTTGGGAGCCAACGCAGCGGGATCCACGCCTGCCTGTAGTGGTAGTACTCACTACACGTGTGAACACCAGAGAAATAACAAAGGGATGGAAATATTAACCAGATGATTCTACTCAGAGGAGACTTTATTATATGTTTTTGAACAGACCTGTTGTAAACGTCCTTGCTGAGGCTGAGTGACGACACTTTGACACGCCTCTGACTGCTGATCAGGCAGTTTCGGGCGGCGAGGTCTTTGTGAACGAAGCGGTGATTGGAAAGATGCTCCATGCCCTGAGCCACCTGAGTGCAGATGGAAACCTGGAGGGGAAAAAAAAAAA